ACAACGGGGGACAAAAAGAAATGACACCCTCTTAGCTGTTAGGACAAATTTCCTTCTTTGACTGATTTTATCGCTTTTTCACCATAATCTCATCTAAAACCCCTTTCCCCGATTCAATGTTGGGGTGGAGCAGGGAGTTAGGTTCATGAATCATCTTCCAACAATGAATCGGGGGAAGGGGGGTTTATTTTACTCGTGAAATATAAAGATTTTCCTGTATACGCAGGGGGGGTGTCATCTATTTTGTCCCCCGTTGTCTGAGAACACTATAAATGTTTGAACTCTTATTTTCCAACATTGTAAAATGCTTTGTTAAAGCATTTGATACCGTTAGCGCGAGCATCTCTGGAAGTTTGATATTACGCGATACAATTTGAACGATAGAATGTTTAGTTGTGTTTAATTAGCTCGCAAAGTAAATTATGACGTGGTCAGTTTGAAAAAAAATCAAGATGGTGGGTAAAAAACCTCTGACGGCAGAGAAAAMAGCTTATATGATGCTACTTCTGAAAGAAAAGAACGTAACTTCAGCTTATATAGCGAAAGAACTGAATATCTGGCGTTCTACCGTGTTCCGGTATAAAAGGAAAGGACTAAAATCCCTGGAAAAAGAGAAAAAAAAGAAGTCACCTGGACGTCCGAGATTAATTGATAAACGTGAAGAAAGACGTATACACCGAAATGTTCAATCGATGAGGAGGTACAACCCCAATTTCACTTCTAGAAACCTCATGGGCAGCAAAAATGGTTTAAAAAATTATTGCGTTTCTTGTCCASTAAAATRTGACWGACAAGAAAAACRCACCCTTTACTTTAATCATTATTTTGGGTTACCTGTGYTCTATTTGARCACAGGTCACCCATAACACAGAAATTTAATTTCGTTATTTTCATACCAAATTTGTACTCAATTGAAATAAAACTTGTACAACATTTGTAATAAACCTACTTCTTAACAAATATATAAAAAAAGTCACGAGGAACCACGCTGTACCAACAACTACGCGTATAAAAAKGAAACCAGGGCTCTATTTATAACGACCCTTGGTTCCGCGTGGTACAGCGTGGTTCCTCGTGTGTTTTTTTAGATAATGTTATAGAGTACRTCAAATTATAACTATCTGCGTTGAAAAATAATAACTTTTGTACATAATTTGTGCCAAATTTRTCATACATTGATAGCGTGACTTCTTGCTTGCTTAATTGGTAATACTATTGCGAGTCCAGTAAAAGTGTTGCAAAGCAACGACCACAAGGCGGAATTTCGGCTTGACTATAAGTAACTAAATACACCATTCTCACGTCGCGTGATCTTAAATGTTCATCGTCACTACTCRTYTTTGCTTCGATTTATGACAGAAGTAGTGTGCTTTTGTCTAACAGTTGAAAAGAATGACAAATACTACTAACTATGCGBGATGGTTTTATAAGCGCGCGAATATTCTTTATTGCAACATTCGCGGCACGTTCTCGCATACTTTTTCCAGATAAATAGTCCATATATGTACAAACTGTACATATTGAAGTTGTCAAATGTGTCAACAAAGCCTAAACAATACATTATGAASAGTTGCGTAACGGTGGATGACGTATGTCATCGCAACATGCGGTATAAGTCACCGTTGTATTTCAGACAACGGGGGACAAAAAGAAATGACACCCTCTTASCTGTTAGGACAAAKTTCCTTCTYTGACTGATTTTATCGCTTTTTCACCATAATCTCATCTAAAACCCCTTTCCCCGATTCAATGTTGGGGTGGAGCAGGGAGTTAGGTTCATGAATCATCTTCCAACAATGAATCGGGGGAAGGGGGGTTTATTTTACTCGTGAAATATAAAGATTTTCCTGTATACGCAGGGGGGATGTCATCTATTTTGTCCCCCGTTGTAGGTCCTTGAACAGTCCTTGACAGCAAATTTTCCTTGAAAAGTCCTTGAATTTGGAGGAAAGGTCCTTTAAAATCATGACATAATTTAGTCCTTGAATCACTCTCGGTTTTTGTAAAGTTAGTGTTTCAGGGATCAACTTAGCCAAGCTTTGAAGCAATTCTTTCTGCAATACCTGTTGTACTATTGTCCAATAGCACATCTCGGACAAGCTAAAAATACATTTCTTTGATTAGACTCCCCACAGAGATTTGGACAAACAAGAGATCAATTTGGTAGTGAATATATGTAGCACGACCTCGTAACTTTCAATTTTATTTAGATTTCTCCTCATTTTTTATCCATATGAGCGAACAAAGCACTGGTATTCGGGTAGATGCAATACAGATTCACGATATCCAGATAGAAGTCTGCATTACTGCTCCACTACAGTGTATGCATAGATAATAAAGACCAATACATTATGAAGTATGGTAGCCGCTCAAAGTCTTCAATGAACTAAATGATTGGTAGTGTTCAAATGTATAGAAAATATGCCCAAAACAGTATCTAAGTGAGGAAATACTATTATAACTTAGTAATCTAAATCGATTCATATTATAACTCTTTATTTCGTGCTTGACCAAATTTGGCTCCCGCAGTCAAAGTCTTCTATGTACAATAAATACAAAAAAGTATCTAAGCTTTATTAACTATCTAAAAGTGATTATGATATATAATATTTAACAATTTACTGCAGGAAAAGTGTTTATCAGAGAATTTCAAGAGCCACTAGTGTATGTCAGGCGAGTTAAATTTGTTGTCCGGTTAACTTGCAAAAAAATGAGGCAAGTTAGTCTTCATAATAATGGTTGCTCTTGTCTTGTTTCATGTCACTTCGCACAAAACGGGAATCAACATATTTTTGTCTGCTTTTAAAGGATTTGTCCATCATATGTCCAAGTCCTTCATCCTCGAGCCAGATACAAGTAGATAGATTAAATAGCTTATTGAACAAAGATATAAATCGCAGGCAAAGGGCTAAATTGGGTTACAGAGTCATGTAACTAAAAACTATKTATTAAAAAAATTTCAACATGCAGTTCATATTATATTGATATGGAAGCAATTCGATGTGGTTCATGAGACGGCACATGGCCAAGATGAACGAGTTCCTATACAGTCTCTTGTGCGAACAGCCATTTCAACTTACTTCTTTTCTGATACTTTCTACCTATACATCTTAAAGAGTGTTTTATTTGCTTGACAATAGTTATCTGGATCATTTTGAAGCTTTGAACCAGAAAAATCATCATTTTCTGGTAAAAGTACTGCATTTTGGAACAAATTTAATTAGGCGCGCGTAATTTCCACATACATTTATCTTGTATTGATCTCAATGTTTGTCCGACTGCAGGCGGGGGGTCAAAAATCTGTGATGTCATTTCCGTGCTGCGCTATTATGGCAGCCAAGAAATCAATAGAGATTGGGGAATTAAACAAAGTTAACTGCAATATTCTAAAGGTTTAGTAAGTTTACTAACTGACATCTTTCTCTTTGTAATTGGTTTCCTTAAAAATTGAAAATCAATCCTTGAAAAGTCCTTGAATTTTGTCTGAAAAAATCTGTACGACCCCTCCAGCAACTTTTTGCATAATTTTTGTGTCGCATACGCTGTACGAAATGTATATAACTGTAGTGGCTTTTATTGTAATAGTTTTAGCACTTGAATTTCTTCTTGATTTCTTTTTTCAGCTTAATACCACCCAACTTCAGAATATGGTCATTGATTACAGGAGGTTTCCTAGAATATAGAATATGGAATGTAAGTTGAATAATGTTTTAATGTTGTATTGTGAGTGTGGACAGTACATGATTGTGTATCATTGCTACTACCGATGTCAAGCCTTCTTTTATATACATGATTTCCTACACATCTTTTGCTTCCCCATCCTACAAGTATGAAATTGCAGACAACCAAAATTTAATTTCTGAAAACATTTGCCAATAATACAGCTGTTTTCTTGACATATAAACAAGATCATTAGCAGAGTGTTCAGGGAGTAAAAAAACCATGATTATTTTGTTCAAATGTAGAATATTAGAGTACAAACATTAAATGTGTGTAACACTTTCCACTTTTTACTACAAATTAGTGTTAATTAAACAATAGAAAACAATAGATAGCAGTATTTAGTGGTATTTTTGTTGCACAGTTTTAGTGTTTGTACTCTACTGTCCCTCTGATAATTTAATGCTGTAAAATTTAACTGATTTTTTGGAAAGCATCTATTCCATTTTTTTTTTCAGGTTGTTATTGATATTATTATTTTAGTCTTGTGTGGTAAAGTTATTGAACCACTTTGGGGAGCTTTGGAGTTTTTAGTAAGTACTACAAGTAATAGTCTCTTTAGCTCTCTTATGAAAAGCATTTTTCTCATTTTTAAAAATTTCAATGAATAATTTTCAACTGTCAAGGTCATTGAGTATTGCTATAATTCCATTAATATCTGCAATAGCTCTCAGACTGTGAAATGATTTTTCCTGCATGTATTTAGCCTTCGTACAATGTAAATGTACCAAAATTGATGTGTGAAGTTTTAGAGATTTAGGAAAATACTGTAAGAATAAATTAATTCAATATGAAAAGAAGTGGACCAATAAATTTTTCTTTTCAATAATATATGAAAATGAAAAGTTTACTGTACTTTGCAACTGCTATAAGCTGCCATACTGTATATTATTATCAAGAAGACATTTTTCACAAATTACTTTTTTTCTGTTAGAAATTTGTTCTTATTCTTGATGTTGGGACATCACTTGCTACATCAGCTCTCTGTCTTTTTATTTATATGGCTACATTTACTACTGATATATGGTAAGTACAATAATATTGTAAGATATACAACACAGACAGCAACAGGGAAACATGGACAATATGCCTTTTTCCTGCTCAAAGAGAGTGACTACTGTTTTAGTTGAGAACAGACTCACTTGAGCAGAGACTTTACCAAAAACAAAAGAAAGCATGAGAAAATGTTGACATTCAATAACTCTGGAAATTTGAGTCCTCATCAATTTGAGGCTAAGCCTGTATCCCACAAGACCTATGTAGAGTTTAAGAATTGGAATACACAGGCTTTAGCTTCAATTCAAATTTGTAGGAAAACATTTTTTTTTTTTGCAATGTCAGCATTCTTTCTTTTGTTTTTGGAAGGGTCTCTGTGCAGAGACAGTTGTTGATTCTACAAGAATTTTGCTGAGGCATCAAAATATAGAGCATTTTTGCTAGACTCTTTATTATTTCGAGTTGGATTTTTGTTTACTTAAAGAGACAGACACAGGGAAATTTGTGATTTTTCACTAATGAAATAAATTGTCCTCGTCCACTAACTTCACTAGAGTGTAAATAGGCCTTCAGTCATATTAAGATAACTTCTCTTGTTAAGGTTTCTCCAGTTTAGTGGGATGACAGGAATCATTTCTGGTATGTTAGTTGCCTTTAAACAAATCAGTCCAGACCAAGAACTTTATAAAGGGATGCTGAATCTTAGAATCAAGGTGAGTATGGCTAAATACCTAAGGCTCATTGATGAAGGCATAGTAAAAAGACATGAAACTCTTATTTTCTCATAATATATTGTAATTGGATCAAGAAAATGTTTTTTTCCTTTTTGTTCTCCATTCCAGCATTTTGACAGATTTCTAACATTAAAAATAAATTAGAATAGACCATGTCACAATGCCATCGTTTAACCAACACTACAAGAATGCTCTGCATATTTTCTTTGTTCTTCAGTCATTTGAATGGTCAATAGCACTATGTTCAAAAGTTATCCTCTATCCAGCGTATACAATCCATACAAAATCTAAGGAGTGGATAACTTTAACCCAGGCGGTGTTGGACACATAACCCAGGCGGTGTTGGACATAGCGCAAGGCGAATGCTGGGTTTTTAATTTTTACCAATTATCTTGCACCATTTTGTATTTGGCGGGAATCTCGAGGTGGAGATGGCAGGTGACCAGGAATCGACATCTGTGTACAAAAGTGCGTTTCTGGATGAATTTTTAAGCATTGTTTGACAAAGAACACAATAAATCTGTTATTTCATACCTTTGTGCATGTTGTAAATAAATATTTTTTGCATATTTATGTTTTTGCTTCACAACAAAAAAAACATTGAAATTTTGTTGTCTTTTCTACCACCAACAAGTTGACAATTTTGACAATGTCGAACGTTTTTCTTAGTTGTGATTTGAATATTCAATCAATTGTCTTGATATTAACAATGTAAAATTGGTCCTGGTTGTATGGTACACGATAGCGCAGTAGTATTTACTCACTAAAGTGAGGGAGTTTTGATTCTTCGTACAAATAAGGCTCTCAATTTTACTTATTTTTTTCAATATTTATAT